CATTTCTGAAAGGCTCAAAAGCTTGTTTTTTTTCCAAAGGTCTCTCAAGGTAAACGCCTCCCAAAAGACACTTGAATTGTTCCTGCGGTCAAATACCTGATTGCAATGTGTCATGCATCAGAGGGGATGCTGTTCTAGAGATAGGGGTACCATTTCTCCTTCTGAACAGACATTGCCATAAAAAGTTTAATTTGCTATAAAACCATAAACAAACGATGTGGACATCCACAAAAGAAGTCATACAATCAGTTCAGCTTCAGAGAGAGCAGTTTTGAGGCTAATATTGCATTATATGTGGCCACTTGACAACTTGGAATGCCTAATTTAAGCTTTTACTTTGTATTTTCTTAATTGTTTGCATGGAAGCTGCCTGAAAAGTGAAAAGTAAAATTTTAACGTAATGAATAGTAATCAGTAACTCTAACTGCCACTTGGAGAGCAGTGCTACCTTCATGTACATGTATCGTATATACATGCATTAGCAGATAGTGCTATTCCTTACATTTGAACAAACAATACAACAAAACCACTTTGAAAGCAATCAGAAGGCAAACCACGATCAATTCAGCTTTTTTCTCCACAAGTCTGATGCCCATGTTGCCCCCCGCTCAGACTCAGAAGTTACATTAAAATGCAATAATTGAAGAATCTCCCAGGTGACTGGCACTGCAGAGGAAGCACTCTCAGTGTTCTCCCAGCCCACATCCTGTTGTGATAATGTTTCAGACCTTGGCAGGGACAACACACACCAGCCACTGGGGAGGGAACGGGAGGGCAGTTGAGGTGAAGAAGCTGAACTACAAACCTGAGCTTTAAGGCTGGGACAATTAAGGAAATTGTATCATCTTTTCTGTTTTTTCATTTTATGATCTGACTGTCTGTAACACACTCCTTTGCTTCAATTTGTAAACTCATTGGTGGTAATGTACTGGTGGCATGCTGGCCCAAAGTCCCTGAAAGATGAGTAGCCAATTTAAACCTGTTGTGTTGATTTGATATACTATCCGTATAAGGACAACAGCAGGAAAGCAGTTCTTAACAGGCGGAGAGCCCCAGTTGTTTCTACAGTGTATGGTTTCAATTTTCTAATTATTTTTTTTGTCCACGTCAAGCATACTATTTATTCATAAATATGGTCCTAATCCCTAATGACAAGATGCTAACATTTTAGCTGTTTGGATCGGATCGCTTCTCCATTCTCTAATGCAAAGAAAGTATTGGACTCAGTCGCCTCAATGGCACATTATACTAGTATAACATTATGATTCTTATCTTTCTCTGCTTTTTTCAGTACAGAAACGCAAGGCAACATGTAAGTAAGAGTGCACATACCTGTAGGCTACACAAATAAATAAATAAATTGGTGAAATAATATGCAAATGTCTGTTTTTATCATACATGATTATCTGGATAAAATATGCAAAACAATGACCATAGCTACTTTTTAGAGTAGCTATGGTCTCTCAGAGGAGCACTGTAGGCAAGCCCTGCAGCTAATGATCTTAGATTTGAGAAGCATGACCCTAATGATTCACTAATGCAGTCTCTGCACCAAGTATTGCATTACTACAGAGCTCTCACTCATTGTGTAAAATAGCTAATATAATACTGTACAGAGAGTACTTTGGCTATGCAGACAGACATATCAGGTTGATGCCACAGTGAAGGGGGTTGGAGTGAGACTGAAGCTAATGGTTCATTACTCTGTCTGGTTTACATACCATGTTGTCGTGTTCTGTCCAAAATTCAGGAACATACATGTTATGAATTAACAGATGCTTATAAATTAAAACTGGCTAAACATAAAGTTAACATGATGATATATATATTTCAATGTGTTGTTCGCATTTTCTACATATCGGTGTTCTTTGGGGTCAATTTGACCTCAGGCTGAACATTTACACACATTTGTGGAGGTAGTTTTGGCTGATATTGAGGTCACTATCACGTGCAATTTTATAATATGTAGTGCCCTAAATTGCAAGTATTTTCTAGAGGTTTAAATTACTTGGTTCAAATTGAGCTCCAGAATGGGAAATATTATTAACTTTGAGGTTTATAAGTGTTTAGATTTTTTTAACAGCAGAATTCATATTAGATATACAGGTTAGATATACAATAAACAAGTACAAATAATAAGAGATAACTTGATGTCATAATCATGCTTGAATACCTTTATATTGACCATTTTCTAATACAAAGACTGTGTGTGAAAATATTCTAAATGTATCTTGCATATAGTGTTATTAGAGTTTAAGTCTAAAGCTCTTTGTTTTCAATTCCCTCTGGAAATTAATGGAAAGGAGATTAGCCGCTGATGTTGCCGCTGTTGATGACAGTAATGATACTGAGTGTAATTGAAAACTGTGTATTCCAAGCAGCATCACATCACTCTTCTCACACTGGACTAGACCCAGGGGAACAGGCAAATGGGAAATATGGGAAACAACTGCTTCATGTGAAGGCAAATCTGATTGTCGTCATTGTCCATTTCACTCAGTCTACCATCCCCAGTCTCCCAAACCAATACCAAGCCATCAACCCCCCCCAAAAGCGTCGTGTCAAGAGAG